AAAAAAAAAAAAAGAATTTAGTCATTATTAGGCCCAGAAATGTAAAGTATTATCTCCTTAGACAAGAAAACACGGAGTTAACATCTTGTAGAAACTACCCTTATCCAGCTCCGGGGCTCCCTCTGACAGATACAAGGCTGAGAGGGATCATTCCATTCTAACTGATCGGATCAGTTAGGATGGAGGAAAGAAGAAAACCTGAATGATATCCTTTTCTCCTTTCTTTAAAGGAAGCAAGACAGGGGCGCCTGGGTGGCTCAGTCATTAAGTGTCTGCCTTCGGCTCAGGTCATGATCCCAGGGTCCTGGGATCGAGCCCCGCATCGGGCTCCCCGCTCAGCGGGAAGCCTGCTTCTCCCTCTCCCACTCCCCCTGCTTGTGTTCCCTCTCTCTCTGTGTCTCTCTCTGTCAAATAAATAAATAAAATCTTTTAAAAAAAAATAAAGGAAGCAAGACAGTGCAAGGGATTATGCCTCAAAAGGCCATGGAAATAGAAGATGTATGTACAAACATGTCTGTATATGTAACCATGCGATACTTTCATAGCTGAATGCGGCCCTACAGTATCCTTTTATATATAAACATGTTTAAGTTCTCAAATTCAAACTCTCATCTTTTTTTGAGTTAATCACTTTAGAAGGCAAAGGATTTTACTCCAGAAATCATAAAGACTACTTTTTATTAATATTACCCATTAAAACCTTTTCCTGTGCAAAATAATTGTCAGATTCTCAGATACATGCTTATTTAGTCCAATAATGCCTTTTTTCCACATCTACTGACTTGTAAATGTTCTCTTCCTCAGACTAAAATGGCCACCATTTTCGTAGGCTGTCTTCCCCCTTCCTTTGTCCTAAGAAAACTTGGAAGGAGCAAGGGCAATGGGAGTCAGGAGACCTTCATGCTCACCAATTAACTGGCCAAACAGGCTGTCTGACTGCAAAGTACTGGGCTCCATCAGCTGATGCCTACACTTTCTCTCAGCAATTAACATCCTGATTTTCACACTCTTGATAGTCCTATGGGCCTTAAGTCGTAACAATGCCAACAGTCCGCTCTGTCCCTGACTTCTTGTTGTCCCCACCAACTAGTTTAAAATATAAACTAGTAGTGCCATGAAGACACAGCCTAAAAGCAAGCGGCAGAATGACTAATTCACATTGTGACCATTTCACAAAAAGATGTGGCCGGCTAAAACCAGGCTGTCAATGTCCAACATCACCAAACTGAACAGAAGACAAACTCATCTCAGAAGTGAAATGACTCCCCAGAGCAGGTGCATTTCACGTTGCACATCCTTTGCAGTAATTTCATTACCCAACCTTGATTGCCTTGATTTCCTATTTACCATTATGAAATGAATAAAAACTGATTCTGCTTCACTATAAGAATCCTATTAACCTTTACGGGATTCTTTTCTTTACAAGATGGTAAAAGGTGCAATATAAACGGAAAGCAAAAAAAACAACCCCAAAAATGTTTGGGACAGAAATTATCTTATACATAAAATCTGTGGCCAATTATTCTAAAACTTAATTCCTTTATGAATATCCTTTTTCCTCTGTAACAGAACTTGGAATTGTGAACTTCCAGTAGCAAATGATGAAGTTCAGATTCAATGCCAAAGGAAAAAAGACCCAAAGGTTAATCTGGCTTTACAGAAATAGAGCCAAACATAATGAGTATAATGTGAGCTTACAGTACCGGGGAGATCTTACTTAAGAAAAGATCTGAATTTCCTCATATAAAATATGGTGATTAGTCAACAGTTTTCTCAAAGCCTACCGTATGTTAGAGCTTCTCAAGCATCTAAGTTATATGCTCTTTAGGCACCAAAAGCATTCAGCCCTTCAACACACATATATGCTCTATGTACAATCATGATCAGTAAAGACTCCTAAAAAACTGACCGTACTAATGGCTTAACATCATTTGAAAATTTTAAAAAATCAATATATGTGATATACTTATACATTATACGTCCTTATACAATGAGTGTAATATACATCTATCGCATATATGTAATAGCAGAATTCAAAAGATAACGTGAGAATATTTTCTAACCCCAAGTTTATGACCATTGCTCAACTTCCAGGTTTCACCCGTAATCTGATAAAAGCGTTCTTCGAGTTTTCTCAACTTCATTTCCTGGTGAGGTTTTAGAACGTTCTCTATGTATCTGCTGGCCTGTTCAAAAAAAATAAATGAGGTGTTGTTACTATAACATTCCTAAGATTTTACATTGTCTATATAGGTGTTAAATAAGAACCAGGTGAAGAACTTGTGTTTTCACACTCACTCAATTTTGCCGAAAAAGCAGCATCCTCCACTCTAATAGCACTCTCTAAAAATCTGCATTTATACATAATGCCGAAAAAAACAAATGTTCTGTATTTATGCTTATCTGGCAGTCTGCCTCTATCACTTTTAGTGTGTTTTCATCTCTTTTTCTTTTTTTTTTAAATAAGCTTTTATTTAAGTAATCTCTACACCAATGTAGGGCTCAAACTCATGACCGTGAGATCAGGAGTTGTGCGCTCCACCGACTGAGCCAGGCAGGCGCCCCTTTACTGTGTTTTCAGTGCGATGAAAACTTACTAGGAGCTAGGGATGTCAAGATGCCTAGGATGTGATCCTTGACTTCTAGGAGCTTCAAGTCAGAGCTGTTTGTTGAAGGCTTCATGCCCAACACATGAAGTCACTTGGAAGAGAGTTCACTGAATAGCTTAATCACAGTAAAGCTGAACATATTTTGGGACTTAAAAGAAATGGAGATTCTGGTTTTAAGATGACAGAGTGAGATTTCTGCCTCCCTCTCCTCCTGAAACTCACCTCTAAATGACCAAGGGAACAAGAAAGAGAAAGCTAAATTCCATCACTGGTGAAACGGAGAAATACTATAAGCACCAAACTCACTGTATATAAGGACCTACGGAGAAGGAGGCAACTGATTCAACAAAGTGAGAAACCTGCAGCCGAAGTGCGTGCAGAGGACAGCAGTACGAAGCAAGCCAGGGCGCTCCAGAGACCCAGGAGGGCCGAGGAAGACGACACACATATACCACGGCAGGAACACGGCGTAAGGTGCAGCGCTGAAAATGGGGAGTGGCGGGGGACGCCGAGCCTCAACCAGACAGTGTGAACCAGAGAGGCTACAGAGTCCCAGATCCCAGTCTTAGTGACAGCAGAAGTGCAAACTCAAACAACCTAGTACACGAAGATGTACACACTGACAAGTGAGACTCCCCAGCCGCCTTCCCCACTTGACTCAGACTGCCGGCAGCCTGGCTTTAACCCCCAAGGCGAGAGAATGGAGGTGCCCTCTCTGGAGAAGGTGAATTGCAAAAGAACAAAAGAACAAAGAGACAGTGACAAAGCTAAACTACTCCTCCATCACATCACCCTACACCAGCAGACAACCTGTCAAACCCTGACCACATACACAGAAATTCCAAGTAGCTTTATTTGCCTTTTCTGTTTTGTTTAAGTAGAACTTATGACCAGTAAAGAACCCAAAGCTTGATGCAATTTTACAAATGCATATTCCATCAATTAACTTTTTAGTGTATCTCTCTCTTTTTCTTTTTTTTTTAAGGCTTTATTTATTCATTCATGAGAGACAGAGAGAGAGAGAGAGAGGCAGAGGGAGAAGCAGGCTCCCAAAGAGCAGGGAGCCCGATGCGGGACTCGATCCCAGGACCCTGGGACCATGACCTGAGCCAAAGGCAGACGCTTAACCATCTGAGGCGCCCTCTCTCTTTTTTCTTTTTAAAGATTTCATTTATTTATCTGAAAGACAGTGAGCGAGAGAGAGAGCACGAGCAAGGGGAGAGGAAAGGGGAGAAGCAGACTGCCCTGCTGTGCAGGGAGCCCGACTCAGGGCTCGATCCCAGGACTCTGGGATGCTGCTTGAGCTGAAGGCAGTTGCTTAACCAAGTGAGCCATCCAGGCGCCCCTTAGTGCATCTCTCTTAAAGCTGAAAGGACAGAGCCAAGGATTACCACATGATTAAAGTCTCCAACATGAAAAATGGAGACTATAATTAACAGAGAAGAAGGAATTTGGAAAGCCCCACTGGAATTTTGAGGTTAATGGTGCAATATTTCAAAATTTTAGGGATTTTCAATCTGCAATTCTATGCCAAATCAAACTATCAATCAAGTGTCAGAAGAGAAAAATCACCTTTTTACAATGCCAAGCCTCAAAAATTTTATTTACCAGCAGGTACATATCTGCACAAGTTGGGCACTTCACCATGCACATACACAGACTATATTGAGACACTGATTAATTTTCTTTTGTCCAAAGAGAGAAGCTTAATGGGTTAAAGACTTTTGCCAAACAAAAGAATCCTAACTTTACACACCCTTAGGAATTACAGATGCCAGTTAGCAGACAGTTGGCATCTAGATGTAATTATAATTTACTAATTATCATGCAAGGCTTTACAATTAACAGTTACTTCCACAAGAAATAACTTTAAACTTCAGAAGTTCAAATATTTACAAGAGAGTTTCTTATAAAAGATCTTGCAATGGGCGCCTGGGTGGCTCAGTTGGTTGAGCGACTGCCTTCGGCTCAGGTCATGATCCTGGAGTCCCGGGATCGAGTCCCGCATCGGGCTCCCGGCTCAGCAGGGAGTCTGCTTCTCCCTCTGACCCTCTTCCCTCTCGTGCTCTCTCTGTATCTCATTCTCTCTCTCAAATAAATAAATAAATAAATCTTTAAAAAAAAAAAAAAGATCTTAAAAGAACACTTTTATTGTTCTAAATTCAGATCGGGGGGCGCCGGGTGGCTCAGTCATTGGGCATCTGCCTTCGGCTCAGGTCATGATCCCAGGGTCCTGGGATCGAGCCCCGCATTGGGCTCCCTGCTTGGCGGAAGGCCTGCTTCTCCCTCTCCCACTCCCCCTGCTTGTGTTCCCTCTCTCAGGTTCTCTCTGTTAAATAAATAAAATAAAAATCTTTTCAAAATAAATAAATAAATAAATAAATTCAGATCAGGGTAGTTACAAATGTAGTAATCTCCCATCTCCCAACAAATACATAGGCTTTTACTCTTGTGATTTGTTTTCAGCCTTCGCTTGTTTACTTAAAAAGGAGTAATTTGTTCACAAGAACAAGTTGTTTAGATGTTGAAACATGTTGATAACAAGTTGAAAACAAGTTGATAGCTTTCAAAATATTAATGCCCTTGTACCAAGGCCTTTGTAAAAGGTTTATGTTTTTAATATTTAAGCGAAAGTACACAGGAGTCTCCTCTTTCACAAAGGTTAATCATCAATCTGGCAACTGCCTGAGTGCTGACAGTTCAAGGTAAAGAAGTAAGTGTTGGAGGGCACCTGGGTGGCTCAGTTGGTTGGGCAACTGCCTTCGGCTCAGGTCATGATCCTGGAATCCCGGGATCGAGTCCTGCATCGGGCTCCCTGCTCGGCGAGGGGCCAGCTTCTCCCTCTAACCCTCCCCACTCTCATGTACTCTCTCTCTCTCTCTCATTCTCACTCTCTCAAAATAAATAAATAAATCTTTAAAAAAAAAAAAAAGAAGTAAGTGTTGGAAAATCATCCACAGGAAATGTAATTCCTATCAAAATCTTGAATCAGATACAGCAAAAGCAATGCTCAGAGGGAAAGTTACAGCTGTAAACGTCTAATTAAAGAAGAATGATCTTAAATCAGTAAGTTAACTTTACAACTTAAAAAACTATAAAAAGCACAAACTATACAGAAAATAGAACAGGAAAACAATCAGAACCAAAATCGGTTCTTTGAAAAGATCAACAAAACTGACAAACCTTTAACTTGATGAAGAAAAAGAGAAGACAAATAACTACAATCAGAAATGTGAGGATATTACTACCAGCCTTACAGAAATAAAAAGGATTAGAAAAAGAATTTTAGAACGATTGTAGACCATCAAATCAGAAAACCAAGATGAAGTAGACAAATTCCTAGAAACACACGAATTGCCTAAACTGATTCAAGAAACAGGAAATCTCAACAGACCTAACAACATATTGCATCAGTAATTAAAAATCTCCCAATAAAGAAGAGTAGGACCAGTTGGGTTCATAGGTGAATGCTATCAAACCTTTAAAGGGTTAACACTGATCCTGTTGAAATTCCAAAAAAATAAAAGAGGCAAGAACAATTCCTAATTAATTCTGCGAAGTCATCATTATCCTGACACCAAAGACAGGCAAAGACACTACAAGAAAATATAAATCCCTTATAAATATAAATGCAAATATCCTCAACAAATTTTAGCAAACTGAATCCAATAGCATTTTAAAAGGATTATATGCCAGCTAAGTGTGATTTACCCCAAGAATGCAAGATGTTTCAACAAAAGAAAATCAATCAATATAATACATATTAATAAAACAAATACATATTAATAAAACAAACATAAAACCACATGATCGTCTCAATTGATAAAGAAAAAGCATTTGACAAAATTCAACACTCTTTATGATAAAAATACTCAGAAACTAGGAATAGGAAGGAACTTGCTCAACATGACAAGTGTCTAGAAAAAAATCCGTAGCTAACATTACATTCAATGGCGGAAGACTAAAAGCTTTCTAAAACCAGGAACAAGACAAGGATGCCTGCTTTCACCACTGCTACTCAACACTGTTTAGAAATTTTAGCTAGAGCAACAGGCAAGAAAAAAAGAAATAAACAGTACCAATTTTGGAAAGAAAGAAGTAAAACTATCCCTATTCTCAGATGACATGATCTTATGTAGGCATACATCGGAGATATTGCAAATTCAGTTTGCAATAAAGTAAATAATAAAGCAAGTCAAATTAATTTTCTGGTTTCCCACTGCATTTAAAAGTTGTATTTATACTATACTGTACTCTACCGAATGTGCAATAGCATTACATCTACAAAAAAGTACATACCTTAATCTAAAAATACTTTATTGTTGGGATGCCTGGGTGGCTCGGTCGGTTAGGCGTCTGCCTTGGGCTCAGGTCATGATCCCAGGGTCCTGGGATCCAGCCCCCCATTGCATTGGGCTCCCTGCTCAGTGGGGAGTCTGCTTCTCCCTCTGTCCCTTTCCCCTGCTTGTGCTCTCTCTCAAATAAATAAATAAAATCTTTTAAAAAAATACCTTATTGTTAAAAAATGCTAACCATTATCTGAGCTTTCAGTGAGTTGTAATCACGGATCACAGATTATCACAGCAAATATAATAATAATGAAAAAGTTTGAAATATTGCAAGAATTACCGAAATGTGACAGAGACACAAACTTAGCAAATGCTGTTGGAAAAATGGAACCAAGAGACTTGCTCAACGTAGAGTTGCCATAAACCTTCAATTTGTAAAAAAAAAAAAAAAAAAAAAAGTATCCACGAAGCACAATTAAATCTTGTTTAAAACAAGATTTGCCTGTATATAGGAAATCCGAAGAATCCACACACAGCAACCACTAGGGCTAATAAACAATGAACAAAGGACAGGGTATAAGATCAACACACAAAAATCATTTTTATTTCTGTACACCGAGCAATGAAAAATCAAAAAAGGAAATTAAGAAAACAACAATTACATTTAAAACAGCATCCAAAATAAAATATGCAGAAATAAACTTAGCCAAAGGGGTGAAAACTATATGCACTGAAAACTATAAAATATTGCTGGAAGAAATTAAAGATATAAATAAATGGAAAGACATTATAGGTTTATGGATTGAAAGACAGTATCATTAAGATGTCAATACTAGGCAAAGCAAGGAAGACTTAATATTATAAACTGTCAATGCTAGCCAAAGCAATCTATGGATTTCAATGTAATCCTTCCCAAAATCCCAAAGGCTTTTTTTGCAGAAATGGAAGAGCCAACTCAAATTCATATGAAATTGCAAAAAGCCCCAAATAGCCAAAACAATATTGAAAAAAAAGAAACTGAACCTCCACCTCACACCACATACAAAACTTAATTCAAAGTGGGTTAATAACCTAAATATAAAAGCTAAAACTCTACAACTCTTGGAAGAAAATATATAGTAGTAAATCTTCATGACTTTCTATTTGACAATGGATTCTTAAATAGGACATCGAGAGCAGGAGCAACGGAAGAAGTAAATAACTGGATTTCATCAAAACTTTTGTGCATCAAAGGACACTATCAAAAGAGTGAAAAGGCAACCTGCACAATGGGAGAAAATACTTGGAGATTATGTATCTGATAAGAGTCTAGTTTTCAGAATACATAAAAACTCCTATAAAAAACAAAAAGACAAACAACCCAATCCAAAAATGGGCAAAGAACTTGAACAGACACTTCTGCAGAGAAGATGTAAGGGTAGACATTTCTCCAACAAGCACAGGAAAAGATGCTCATTAGTCATTAGGGAAATGCAGATCAAACCACAATGTGATACCATTTCATACTCATTACATGGGTATTTAAAAGGATGGGGGTGGGAATAATAAGTATCAGTGAGGATATGGAGAAACTGGGCTGCTCAGATATTGCTGGTGAGAATATAAAATGGTATAGCTGGTGTAGAAAATAGTCTGGTGGTTCCTCAAAAAGTTAAACATAGAATTACTATATGACCCAGCAATTCCACTCCTATGTATATACCAAAAGAACTGAAAACAGGTACTCAAAGACTTGTGCCCAAATAGTCATAGTGGCACTATTCATAATAGCTAAAAGGTGGAAACCTAAATGTCAATCAGCAAATGAATGGATAAACGAATTTTGATATATCCATATAATTAAATATTATTCACCCACAAAAAGGAATGAATCAATACATGTATTGATACATGTATATGGATGAACCCCAAGAACATTATGCTAAGTGAAAGAAGCCAAACAGAAAGGTCACATGTTATATGATTCCATTCATATGATATATCCAGAATAAATTCATACAAATAGAAAGTAGGGATGCCTGGGTGGCTCAGTTGGTTGCGTGGCTGACTCTTGATTTTGGCTTGGGTCACAGTCTCGGGGTCCTGGGATTGAGCCCTGCATTGGGCTCTGCACTCAGAGGGGAGTCTGCTGGAGGATTTTTTTTTCTCCCTCTCGCTCTGCCCCTCCCCCTGCTCACTCTCTCTCTCTCAAATAAATATTTTTTTTTTATAAAGATTTTGTTTATTTATTGGAGAGAGAGATCACAAGCAGGGGGGGAAGGTAGAGGGAGAAGCAGACTACCCACGGAGCAGGGAGCCCAATGCAGGGTTCGATCCCAGGACCCCGGGATCACGACCTGAGCCAAAGGCAGACACTTAACAACTGAGCCACCCAAGCGCCCTTGTTTTTTTTTTAAGATTTATTTATTTGATGGGGCGCCCCTTGTTTTGTTTTTTTTTAAGATTTATTTATTTGATGGGGCACCCCTTGTTTTGTTTAAGATTTATTTATTTGATGGGGTGCCCCTTGTTTTGTTAAGATTTATTTATTTGATGGGGCGCCTGGGTGGCTCAGTCGTTAAGTGTCTGCCTTTGGCTCAAGTCGTGATCTCGGGGTCCTGGGATCGAGCCCCACGTCAGGCTCCCTGCTCAGCGGGAAGCCTGCTTCTCCCTCTCCCACTCCCCCTGCTTATGTTCCCTCTCTCGCTGTCTCTCTCTGTCAAATAAATAAATAAAATCTTAAAAAAACAAACAAACCAGAAAGCAGACTGGTGGTTACCAGAGGACAGAAGGAGCAGGGAATGGGGAAGTGACTATTTAATAGGTGTGGGGTTTTCTTTTGGGGTAAAGAAAATGTTTTGGAACTAGAGATAGTGGTTGCACAACACTGTAAATGTTCTAAATGCCACTGAACTGTACATTTTAAATTGGTTTATTTTTTTTATTTGGTAATCTTATGTCATGTGAATTTGACTTCAATAATTAAAAAATCTGAGCACAAACACAGAAAGCAATAGACCTCAATTTTAAATGCTCCAGATATTCTGGATTCTCTCTATATATATATACTCTCTAAAAATTATACTTTACCTTTTCACTCTGTGCCTCTTGTTGTTTTTTTCTGACAAGTTTTTGCCTTTTCTCATTGTTCTCTTCTTCTTCTAAGACAGCAAAACATAAAAGTGCTTTTTAATTCCCAACTATGATAAACTGAATGCTCTTTTCTCTGAAAATAGTCTGCAGATAAAACATTTTGGGAGAGACAAGCCTTCAAAAAACAGACCATAATTTTTGAAATAATGAAAATGAGATATATGCAGACAGTTCAAACAAAGAAATCTACAAGTAAAATCTATAAAGAAAAGGTCTGTTCTGAAACAAAAGTTCTCTGACATGTACTAATATTGTATATTATAGTTTTGGAGAGGACGCTTCAAGAATGATTATGGGGGGCAGCTGGGTGGCTCAGTCAGTTAAGCGTCTGCTTTTGGCTCAGGTCATGATCTCAGGGTCCTGGGATCGAGTCCCACATCGGGCTCCCCGCTCAGTGGTGAGTCTGCTTCTCCGCCTCTCTCTCTGCCCCTCCCCACCTCGTGCTCTCTCACTCTGTCAAATAAATAAATGAAACCCTAAAAAAAAAAAAAAAAAAGAATGATTATGTTGGGGAGTGCCTGGGTG